AATTTCAGTTCCGCGCTTCAAGAATTCTCCCGTGTTGAAGATTCTAAGGAAATATTGATATTTTATGAAAAATAACACTGCATGCTTTTAAAATTTTTCACTGAAAAAACTTTGAGAGATAAAAGGAAATGTTGTATGGGTTAACTTTTAGCTCTTATTGTTGCGGGTCGAAGGAATAAAGAGAAAAATATCACAAATTTTCGAGAAATTTTTTAAAAACAAAACTTAAAAAAAAAAAAATTCGGACTTTGATTAGCTGTATCTCGAAACCTATAACACAAATCTAATTGACAATTGATTGCTCTTTATTTTGTTCCAAATCTAATCTAATTGATTTGATTGAAAATAAAGAGCAGTCAATTATCTGTAAAACATTATCTGGTTACGATGGTATCTGGTTATCTGGCAATTATCTGGTTACGAGGATATAAACAGTAATATAAAAGAAAAATTTGGTATCTTCTTTGTTAACAGCGAATCATGACTGCCATCTTATGCGAAACACCCTGTATATCTTATAAAAAATTTACTAACCAATTTCGATTACAACATAAATACACATTTTAGTTTTAATTCAATAAAAACAAGCAAAATTCTAGGTTTAATGGTTTTTTATGAAATATTGAAGTCAGAATTTCAAAATCTTAATTCATACATAGGAAACATCCTATTCTTTATATAATATTGGGAAATTAGAAAAAATTAAATTAGCTTGATGTTTTAAAAGCTAAAAAATTTTATTAAATTTAAATTACTTATACTACCGCCAATTTCATTTTTAAAAAAAAGTTCTAAATTATTTAAAAATTATTTTGCGGAAAATCGATATGAACTCTTACGAAAAAAAAATTTTATACATAGAATTGTTAATTGCAAAATTTTTATAAACCTGAGCTTTAAAATTCCAAAAAATTCTGCATTATCCAATGGTAATTGGAGCTTACATGCTATTCATTAAAATGCAATAGTTGACGATTTTAAAAATTTGATTAAATTTGATGATTAAAGCATGAAACTAAAATTTGTTCAAAAAATTAATACCCTGATGAAGATTTGAAAATAAACTGAAACATTAATAAAAAATTAAAAAACATTGTTTTATTTGTCCTACACCGGACTATATAAAATCTTTTAGTAATTAAAATCAAGGACGCTACAAGTAGAATTTTAATATGAAAAATATCGATAGGCAGAGTGGAAAATCAAAATATAAATTTATAATGTCATCAATTGGGTTACTGTTAAGTCTAAACATAGAATGGTATAATATATTTTAAATAGACGCCGTAGTTCTCCGTAGCAGTAAAAAGTTAATTTAGTTTCAAATTTACTGAGCATTTTTGAACTATTTTCGTTTTACACCATCAATTCTTGAATCTTATTATTGATTTTTATAAATTTAAGAATTCAAGCCCTTCAACAGTAAGTTTCTAAATTATGTAAATATTTTATTCATAGCTGAATTTTTAAAACATAAATTTTTTTTTTAATAAATCTCAAGTTACTATATACATTTACATATATTATAAAAATTTGAAATTTTTTCAAATATTTACGAAATTCGAACTATCAAGTACGGTCTTAATCAATACACGAATAGAAATTAACAAAAATCACTTCAATATTTTTTGTTTATAAAAATACATAATATTTTGTTTTGTACAATTATATATTTTATTTAATAATATTGAAATAATTAAAAAAATAAATTGTAAAAACTAATTTTCAAATAAATATACAATAAATAAATATTACAATTTCATATAACAATATTATAATTATTAATAAATATATACATGAATATATAAGTATATAACATATTATCTATATATAATAATTATTTATCCTCCTTAAAATACCTTTATACATTTTATACAAATACTTCTAGAATAATTTTTCTTTTATTTTTATTACATTACATTGCAGATTCTCACTATATATATTAATTGTTATACATATACGAGTATAATAAACTAGATTATATACATACAATTTAATTTTTTTTTACAATGTGGTTCCAATACTATAACGATGTAAAACTACATAAAATGTATAAATTTTTTTTATATTGTAAAAATATCTAGAAAAACAAAAATCCAAAAAGGAATGGATAGATACATAGACAGTCTATAGAATTTATAGAAGAATATTGAATATTAAAGCTTTTTGTTTTTTTCGGTGTTCTTTTTTATTTTTTTACATTAAATTTTATCTCTTTGTATAAAATAAAAACTTGGGGAAATAATAATCTTGTTTTCCTTTTTCTTCTTATACTAATATACAATATAATAGTAATAGTACTAAGTTATACATTTCATGTAATATAACAACTATGCTGCTACAATATTTTGTCATGCACATAAATTTTTCTTCTCTTTCAAATAAAATTAAAAAAATTGAGAGTAAAATACTATATATATACAATACTATAAGTATGACCGTAATTTAATTTTATACTCCAACAATAAACAAAAAAAATGTATTTTATGGAGATAAAAAAGTGCTCCACTCCAAATTTGCGTTTTACATTACAACACAATATTCACAAACAATGAAAACCAAAATGAATTGAGTATATAGAGAAAATTTCTCAATTTCATTTTATAAAATATTCTCCCCTTTTTTAATATTATGCATATACATATATATTAAAATTTTAATTTAAATGTATACGTGTTTGTATAGTTTAAGTGTATATAAAATAAATGGTAATAAAATGACTGTCATGCCATATAAGAATTTTATGCAACAAAATATTTTTATGTGTATGCAAGTATTTAAATTGAATATACGTTGTCACCTTATCGGAGACCTTTTCCATTCTTTACCTTTCATATTTTATTATTTTTTTTCTTTTCTTTTTAATTTATTTAAAAATTATTTTTTAAAGACAGTTTTTTTTTTTCACATATTATAATTATATGTGTATGTATTTTTGGTTGTATATACATAGTCATTAATTTATACGAACATAAATTTGAGAAAGAAGAAAAAAAAATTGAGAAGCTTTTTTTTTCTCAATAAAAAGAAAAATTATATTCCACATACATACATACATACATACATTAATATTAAAATGAAAATTTCTGCAAAATATACAAACTCTGTTATCAGATAAAATAGAACCATTTCTTTTCTCAATACATATACTTACATATTTATGTAATATATACAAACACACACTATTATTGTTATACAATATTATAGGTATTTTGATTTTTTTTTCTTATTTTATTTAAATATTATTATTTTGTTATTATTATTTTTTCAAATTTTACTACAAAAATACAAAAACAAGAGAAAAATAAAAAGAAAAATAATATCTGCCGGTGTATTGTAGGAAGAAGAAATAAAACAGATAATAAAAAAAATAATAAAAATAATAAAAATAATAACAATAATATTCACGGTAAGGAAGACACATAAGCACAGCATAATATAATAGTAGGTATATACAGAATAATAACTACGATGTAAGAAAATGTTGATGTTGATAAACCAACATAAAATACAATATAACAAAAATGTGAAAAAAACAAGTAAAAAATAAAAAAAATTATACATAAAATTAAATGTAATAAAAGGAAAAAAATTATAAGAAAATAATAATAATAATAATAATCATAAAATAATAAAAGAAATTATAACAGCAAAAAAATATAACAGAGCAAAAAAAAAAAATTATAAAAAAAAAAAAAAGAAAATTGCAGAGTCATAAATTGAATAAACCGTAAAATATTTTAGTAATATTATGAAGTTTGAAAGAGCTTCACAAACAATAGCGGGCGGTTCTCTTCTTAAATTAACAGAAAAACAACCCAAACATAAATACTATAAAACTAAAAACAATAAAAAAAATTTCTAAATACTAAATTCCTAAATGTAAATATCAAATTTTGAAAATAAAACAAAAAAAAAAAAACATAACAAAATTCTCTTAAACTGTTATATTAGTAGTATTTTGTATACTGTTTAAATTATAATAATTAATATCAGAGACATAGCGCCCCATATTATTTAATACTTACTAATTTAATAATTACTATTCTACTACAAAATTTTATTAATCTACTATAATTTTATAATTCCATAAATTAATTATTAATTTATTTAGTATTTTAATAATAATAATAAGAATAAGAAGTAAACAGCATACTTGACAATAAAATAATAATTTTAATAAATTGTGTATAAAAGTTTGCATTAATACTAAATGAAAAATAAATAATAATATAAACAAGTACATAAAATATTTTAAAAATATTAAATTGTATAATATATGAGAAAAATATTAAATAAATTATTAATAATATTAATACAAGAATATCTTAAATTTCAAAATTATTGTCATAAAAGTAAGTGTTACAAACAGTGAATTTAACAAATTTTACAGTGATTTGCTCTCATTTTTAAAAAAAATTAAAGCAAAAAAAAATAATAAATTCTTAATACGAGAATAAGAATTAAAATTTTTTTATAGTATAAAATTTCAGAATAAAGTGAAGAGAATAAAATAATGTTTAGAGCATAGCATGGCATAATATTTGTGTATAAAAAATTATAACATACTTCATACTCAACATATGTGTGGTTCGAGAATATTGTTAACAAAATGAAAATAAATTTATACACAAGCAACATATGTGAATGTATTATATTTCTTAATGTACATGTTTTTAGTATAACAAAATATATTACTGTAATCTGTAATACATGCATATGTAGTTACTAAATTTATTAATTGAATGGTAGAATTTTAGATATTTAATATTGATATCTGATATTTTTGAAAAATAAAGGCAGTTGAATAAATTTTTTATTATTAGTATTTTTATTTAATATTTAATTTATAAAAGAAAATAATTATAATAAAATAATTTTAAAGAATTTCTCCACAAATACATAAATGAATAAAATGATATTATTAGAAAATAATCTAAAATAAATAATATAAAATAAAAAAAAATTGAAAATAAAAACAAAAAAGTGTTTGTATTTTAAAAAAATTTTTAAACAATGAAAATAATAAAATACATAAAAAATTTTAAATAAATCCTTCAAATAGAAAAAAAAAAAAATTTCAAATTATTAAATACTTCTTATTTTCAATTGTATAAAAACAAAATGATGAATTTAGCATTACCAATGGATCTATTAACAGCTGCTAATGGACATCATCCACATTTAACACATCATTCATTAACATCTAATGGTTCAAATAATTCAAATAATAATAACAATAATAATAATAATAATAATAGTATTGGACATCATCAACAATTACCACCATCATCATCATCAGTAGCATCATCATCATCATCAACATCACCATCAGTAATATCATTAGCAAATAGTATACATCATCATCAACAACAACAACAACAATCACATCATTCTCATAATCATCATCATCCAAATCATCATTCATCACATCATAATCATCATCCACATCATCATCATCATCATCATCCACATTCTCATCATCATATACCAACAAGATTATATAATAGTCCACCACCAATATCAAGTTCTGATCCAACTGTTAATGATTGTAAATTAATTGAATATCGTGGTAAACAATTAGTTAGTTTTACTGTTGGTGGTGAAAAAATGTTATGTTTACCACAAGCAGTTGATATGTTTTTAAAAAATTATGTTGGTGGACCACATACAGTATATTGTAAATTAAAACGTTTAGATATTGTACCATTAGTATGTAATACAGAACAAATAAGAATATTAAGAGGATTAGGTGTATTACAGCCAGGTGTTAATCGTTGTAAATTATTATCAGTTAAAGATTTTGATACATTATTAGATGATTGCGAGAATGCAAGGTAATTGAAAACAAAAGTTTTTTTTTCTTATAATTTAATTGTCTTAATTTAATTTAAATTTTGTTTTTTTCTTAATTTTAATATTGATAATTTTTATTTTTTAAATTTTATATTTTTAAATTTCAAACCCGAAAAAAAATTCGTTCCTGTAAGAATATTGAACAATACATTAAACATTGAAATTCTTAATTTTTATAATATCAAACGATCTGTTCATTCTCTTAAATTTAATTAGTATAAAAAATTTAATTCACAATTTAATTGAAAAAAATTGTAATTTGAAAATCATGAAATTTAATCGTTCCGGGACAGCTTTCTCAAAAATTGTAGAATGCCAATTATTTTATTGTACAATAATGTAAAACTATTTTATTCACTTTATTCAAATCACATCAACTTTGATTAAAAATTTTAAAGTTTATTGATTTTAAAAATATTCTGTGCAAGATTTAAGCTTATTAAAAATTAGGCATCCTAATTTGTTAAAACTATTTTCTATTTGAAACATTCCCAACCATAAGCTTTCATAGTGGATCTGAGAACAGAGTACGTGAGTCGATTTTTTATCTAAATTTTTGTTGTGTAAGTGTGACTCAAACTTTTAATTATTTGGCTATTGCATTTCAGTTTTGTCTGTCTCTGTTCAATATAAAATTAATCTGTTCGAAAACCTCATATATTAATTTTATAAATATAATTATAAAAAAAAATGATGTCAGTCCGTTTTGTATTCGAAATCCGCATTGAATTTTGGCATAATCCCCAAATAGTAAAAATTCTAACCGTCTAAAATATTTTTTCCCGTTCTATATGGGATTCTTCATTATCCATTTTCAACTCAATATAAGAAAAAATTACACATACTGAGTCTCCTCTTTAATCCACGATTTACTATATTTATTTTTTTTCCACTTTTATTGCTTATTTCTGAAAGCATTACATAAAAACACAAAATTCTCTGTCACAGGTGAATTGAAAATTTAAAAAATAAACAAACCTTTTTTATACAAATATATATATATATATATATATTTTTTCTAAATTCAATACAAATATGCGTAAAAGCATTTTAAAAATTTATCAAAAATCTTGATGTGAAACGAAGTAGTTATTCTAATTTGGTATCCAAATACATGTAGAATGAATAAATACAATTATCATTCACTTCAACTTAACTAAAATCAAATCCCACCAACGCACAATTTCTCAAAATATTAAAATTATTTGAATGCAACTAAGTATATGCAACAAAACAAGGTCTAAAACAACAAAGAAAAAACACTCTACATACAAGAATGTAAGTACGATAATAAAAAATGCTATAAACAATAAACTTATTTTTACAACTCATTTTAGAGCTCACCAAAACGTAAGAGAACGTAATTTATAATAAAAGATCAAATATTTTTTTGTTGTCCGGCGTACAGAAGAAAAATTCTGTAAAAGCAAAACAAAAACAAGCTATTAAATAAAAATTCATTTTAAAAATCAAAATTGATTACTTTTGAAAGGAGTAAAAATAAAACAAGTAAAAAATGTAAAATAAGATAAAAATTAAGTCAGTCAATTAGCCACCACCGACAACTCAATAACAATTCATATAAATATTATTTCGCTTTTCGACTCGGCTGACTCGGATCGATCAATCGATTGACTGACCAACTCCTTAAAATGTATCAAAAAAAAACAAAAAAAAAAATTTTTTTTTTTTATGCATCAAATTGTATTGGAAATTCATTTATGCGTATTTAAAATACTTAAACTGCAATATTACCTACAAAATTGATTGCATCTACCTACCAGAAGTTGCACAATTCAAAACTGTTACTCGTAAAATCTTTTTATAAAAAAAAACATTTCAAATTTTTTTTTATTTTTGGTGCTGCTGCCGATGCCGTTTTAATTTTTTTTCTTTTCTTATTTCTTTTCTGTTATAATTTTCTCTTTTAATGTTTAACTATTAAACTGCATATTGAATGTTTGTTCATCTGTAAAAATTTAAAACCTTTCAACATCAAATTAAATCTTAGTTACAATTTCACATATTCATGTTGCATACGAACATATACGAACAATTTTGTTTCCATCTTAATATAGGGGTATTATAAAAAGTAAATTTTTACTCAGTTTAATATTTTATTAAAAACCTTCATCGCTCGTGAGGATTGCTATTGAAAATGCGGGCAGTAAAAACTATTTATAAGAGAGAAGAGTTTTACTTTAAGTATTGAGGAATTTGCATTTTGCATAAATATTCCTGGATGCATAATAGATTATCTCTTCGAATGGGCTTAAACTGAAAATGAAAAACAAAGAGAAGTAAAAAACAAATAATAAATAATGCAAAATAAAACGGAAATCACGCGGCAAACGTAAATCCTTTGAAGTTGCGGCTTTTTCAATTCAAAAAGGGGAAAACTTTTATTACTATCTTTGTTTTTGATTTTGCTGTTTTGCAAAAAATAATGCACACAATGCAATTACCGAACGAAAATGAAAAAACAAAAGAAAAAACAGAAAAAAATAGTTGAAAACTATTTGAAAAAAAAAATAGTAATAAAGAAAATTAAAATTAAAAATAAAACAGAATAAATAAAGTTAAGACAAATTGACTTTTTAAGGTTATGTAAAATAAAACCGTAAATGACAGTTTTTTTTTTTCTTCTTATACTTCTTCTACTATTTCTTATCCCCTCCTTCCAAAAATTCTTTCTTTTATTCTTCTTCTACATATATTGGTCTATTAAAGTCTTAAAAGAATTAAAATAAATTAAAAACAGAAAAAAACAAACGCGGACTGCATTAAAATTTTATTAAATAAGCAGTAAAACAGAAGAAGTTGTTCAACAATTTAAGTAATTTGTTAAACAATTTGCTGTAATTTGCTTTGTCAAGAATGAGTAATTTTTTGAAATATTTTATAAATATTTTATTATGGCTATAGGTTTTAAAATTAAAATGAAAGACAAGAAGTGAAAAAGCCAATAAAATTTAATTTTTTATAATTATGGAAAAAAAAATGTCAATGACAATTTAAATTGAAAAATTTTCAGGAATAGGTCATGTTTAAAAATAATATTTAATTCTTTTTCCCAAATACATACATTATATAAATAGCTACATACAATTATAAGAATATGAATTTATCTGAACACTCTTCCATTTAATAGTTAATAATTTGAGTAGAAGCAATATTGAGAAATGAAAAAAAATTTAAAAAATAAGAGTAGGATCTTTCATTAAGCCGTCGGTTTAAAAAGTTCTTTCCCAAATTTACTTTAATATTACTGATCTGGTAACTGGCTTTATAGTTCGTCTTCAGGGAATTAGTTAGTTAGGTCATAATTAATTTTCTAAATCAAATTGTGTTTTTGCATTAAGATGGCTAATTAATATTAAATTCTAGACCTGGAAGACCATACGCTGATTTATTAAATCTTATATAAGTTGTTCCATCCGTATAATAGCACTATTTACAAACAATACAAATCAAACGTATTCTACTATTAAACAGGGTATTTTTACTAGAAACATCGGTAGAAAAAAATTTTACCTATCTCCTCCTTCTTTGAAAGTTACATCCCCCAAAATCTCAAAAACGCCATTTTTCAAATTTTTATTGCAGCAAAACTATAAGCATTCTTAAAATTTTGCAAACGCACAAAAATAGTTCTTCTACCGCGGCATACCATATTTGAACTTCAAAAAAAACGAAATCGCCGTTAAAAAAACAAATACCGTCATTTTTTTTCTAGACCGCATGGTCCTGAAATTTTACAGTTTTCAGACACTAATAAATAGTTCATCTCGTTAGAAGAAAATTTTTTTCCAATCTCCAACCCTTTTCAAGTTATAGCATCTCGAAATTTATAGAATTTGAGCTTTCGGCACCTTATATTTCCGAAACTGTAAGCTTTCCCAAATTTCTATAAATGCAGATGGCTAACGGATTAAAAAATAAAATTATTTTTTTTCAACTTACGCAATTGACCCTTAAATTCAAAAATTATGTTAACTGCTATTTCGATTTTTTTTCCTTCGCCCTAAATGTATGCAATCTTTCAAATATTTGCGTATGTGAATGAATGCTATTTTAATAATGTATGTAGTAGTTATGTACATAAATTGTTTTTAAAAATAATATTTTCACTTGTTGAAGAGAAAACCTCTACATTACAAACCACTGGGTTGAGCCTTTAACTTTGTCGTTAAAGTTTGATTTGACTTTGCTATTTTGTAATTGTTTTTATTTTAATATTTTTGATATATTTTTAATTTTAAAATATTGATTTAAAATTTTTATTAATTCCTCAGTTCTTTAAGAAATTTTAAATTTTCAATTCAATAAAAATCAACAATTTTTAATTCAATAAATTCCAATTTAAAAAAAAAGTCCAGTTCTCTTTTAATTAAATTCCTTTCAATAATTTTCTTCGTAATAAAATTGTTAAACATTTCATAAAAATGTCATGTTCAATATTCTAAGGATAATTATCAGGAAAATTAACATTTCCAAGTTTTCTGTTTTATGTTTTTCCTTTTTTTTTTAATTAACTCTACATTCAAACTAATTAATATTAAGTTCTAGACCTGGAAGACCACCAAAACGTGGTTCAATTGGTATGCCATTACCACCATCAGCGGCAGCATATTTAGCATCAGCAACATCAGCATCATCATCATCATCATCATCTGCTGTTATGATGCCAGGGGCAACAGGATCAGAACATCCACAAATAAAAAAACTTCGTCATGAAAATTCTGATGAAAATTTATATGAAGATCGAAATCATTTAACAGGTATACATACAAATTAAATTGGATTTTATTAAATGGGTTTTCAACTTATAATTACAGTGCTTAATTATACATTTGTAGTTTTTCAAACAAACACACTTTTTATTTTAAAAATTATTTAAATAAATTTTTGTATTGAATTTCGGTATAAATGTCGCATATGCGTTAATAATCGCATATTTTTCATCCGTTATCGAAAATGTAAAACAATATTGTAAAACGACCACACAATTTGAATAGAAAATTTATTGGATGCAAAATGCCAATTCTAAAATATTAAACTTAACCAAGTTTTTTAATTTTCAGAACATTTAGTTGTTAACAAAGAAATTATAAAGATTTTACAAGGACAACTCTAAGAGAAAATAGTTGTTATGCAAAACACAAAATAATTCTCATATTATAAAAATGTTACTTCATTTTTTATGATAGTTAATTACCGTAATAATCATAATGAATAAGATGATCTTGATTCTAATAACAATTAAAATCATTTTTGGATTTATCAATTCAATATTCACACATATTTTGACGATTTCGAATATTTTTCGGGCCTTAGTATCAGTAATATTAATTAATTCCTTCAGAGCATATCCTATACTTAATGGCTTCACATATAAAAAATTGAAATTTTTCAAATCCCACAAAAATCTCCGATAAAACTCTTCCCATTTCTTTAAAACTGTTACCATAAAATTATCGCCTTAGTATAGATAAAACAATACTAGTTTACGCAATTATTTTGGAGCGCATATTTTCCAATTCTGTAATGAAACTTTTATCTAAGAAATTTAAAACCAACAGGTCATCATCATTTATTAGATGGCTCAAATAAATCATCACCATCATCTTCTGCAGCATCTTCAACACAATTACTAGCTGAAACAGCAAATCAAATCAATCATATGGCATTTATGCAAATGAATAGTTTTCCAAGTTTAATGGCAAATCGAATGACAACAGCAGCTGCTGCAGCTGCAGCAGCAGCAGCAGGAATATTTCCATCATCACTATCATCTGAACAAGATCAATTATTGAGAAGAACAACATCTTCATCATCATCATCAGCATCAACAAATACTAATCATCCTGCACATCATCTTAATCATCATCATTCTTTGGGACAAAATGAATCAATATTAAAGGATCAAATAATTAATCGTGAAATTGATATGGAAACATTCTTTAGATCTGGTTTGTGGGCTAAAAATATTACGAATAGTAATAATTATCAGAGTCAATATGAAGATATGGTAAAACATTTAGAGAGGTAAAATTTCTTCCCATTCTAATTGTAAAACAAAATTATAACATTAATTTCTTTAACTTGGTTCTTAGGTTAAAAGAAGATAATGAAACAAATCGCAGAAATTCTTTGGATCATAAATATAAAGATAGTAATAATCCAAGAGATTCAACATCAAGTCCAGTTTTAAATCTTTCAAAATCTGATAATACAGAAATAAGTCGTGGTGGCGGTGATGATTCATGGAGTCATAAAAGTCGTTCAATAACTCCAGATAATCCTGAAAAACTAGAAAAAGAAAATATTGAAAATCATGATGAAGTTGCTGTTGATGATAATGATAATGAAAATGGTCTAATTAAACCAAAAATTGAAAATGATAATTTATTACATGATAATTCAAGGCCACCATCAACAATTATTTCAAGGACACCAAGCCGTAATATATCACCATTAATTGAAGAACCAACATTTTCAATGGAAATTTTACTTCGAAATATTCAAGCTTTATTAAAAATTGCCGCCGATAATGCTCTACAATATGAAAAACAGAATTTATACGAAAGAGGTGAGTTTTTAAACCTGTGTATGAATGTGTTTCTTTTAATCTATAATGTTTGTTTTTCTTATTTTTACAGCTGAACTGAAAATGGATGTGATGAGAGAAAAAGAAATCAAGGATTCTATAGAAAAACAATTGAATGAAGAACGGAAATTACGAGGTAAGTTTTCAAAATTAATTTCAAAAATTTTTAAAATAATAGTGAATTTTTATAAAAATCACTTAATTTAAACTTAAAAGATGTTTTGGAGGCTAATTTTAAATATTAAAATTTTTTTGTTTTATTTACAGTTCTGTACCAGAAACGTTATCGCAAGGAGAAGCGATTGCGTGCCAGGCTTGGTTAGCAATTAAAGTAAAAAATTATTAAAGAAATTTAAAAAAAAAAATTAATGTATTTGATCCCCAAACAAGTATGTCCTCCATTAGAGTATAATCATTACCATTATAGTATTTAACAAATAAAAAGTAAATTAAAAATATTTAAAAAATCTAAAATCATAAAAACAATGATGAAAATTCATATTGTAATAAAATTGTAGGCAACCTGTAGACACAAACATATTAATATTAATTATGCCAAAATTTATATAAAATTAAATTTTATAAAAATTTAACATAGAACTATTCGGAATCCAATTATTTATAAGTATATATGTATGTGTATATTTATTAAATTTTTTAAGAAAAATTATTATTAAAAATATATTTCTGTGGTAGCAAGAAAAATCTATCTAAGTTTAACAATTCTTAATTTTGTGTTTTAAAATCAAAATTTTTATTTAATTAAATTCAAGACTTACCTCTCTTTTTTGTATTCATCGGATAGAAAGAAACCAAAATATAAATTTGTATTATGTGGTTTTAAAGTCAAAATACTATATTTGTAGTATGCGTTTGATTTTCTAATAAAATTGTTATAGATACACAATAATGACACTATCTAAATCTATTAAATTTCATAACTATCTGGATCTGTTAATTATTGCAAAAATTTTTACGCTTACAAAGTTTTCCTTATGACCACAGAATTATAGTTTTTTTCGAATGATCAGGATTAGTATCGAATTTTAATATTACTTTTAATTCTCATATGATTGTTTCTGTTATATTGTGATATTAATAAAAATTATTGTGTGAAACAAGCACTCTATGTCACAGTATTGATTTAGTAAAGTCACTTACTAAATAATTTTAATTGTTTTAAGTGAGATATTTTCCTTTATTTGTTAACATGCCATATTTATACAAATATTGTGTAACAATTTTATGCAATAACAAATATTGTTGACTGATAAGAAGTTAATTGGTTTTTTTATACGAAAACGCTGTTGTCTCATAACATTACCATTCAATTTGAATAATAATTTATTTGTGAAATATTACCAATTCAGTCTTCAAGACTTGTTGTTAAACCATCAATTCAATTTTTTAATATAAATTAAAATTTATACATTCGCTACTCGCCTTCATTAATTTGATCGCACTGATTTACTAAAATGATATCGTGCATTGTTGGAGGCTTTTAATTTTTCTTAAAATACCATGTATTATTTAGAAAATTTATTAAATTAATTCAAAATTTTTTTAATGTCAATAATAACAGTTTGATCATCAGCCCCAAATTATTAATTTTGATATTATAACAATTTTTATAAAATATAATTTTAAACATACAATTATAAATTATAACCAACATTATATGCATGAATATTACATATGACTCGTAAATCGTAATTTTTCTGTAAATATATATATTCAATATATACATGTATATAATAATAATTTATTACTTTTCATATATACATATACTTTATATAATATACTTATATATATGTAAAAATTGATAACTGTATATGTCAATAATTTTATGTAATACAAAAATATCCTTAAATATCCTTATCATAAACAACTATTAAATGTTTTTGGTAGTGTAATATATTTAAAACAACCATATTAAATATTATAAATATATACTATTATTATTATGACTCATACATACACACAAAGAAAAAACAATAAAAAATAAATTAATGTTAAATATAAGTACATAATATACACATACCTACATTTATATATACATAATGTATATTATATTGTAGATGTATAAGAAAAATCTAAGAAAATGAAATTATAAATAAAATTCATTACTAGATAAACATTCAACTATAATAATGTTTCTTTTTTGGTAATTAACAGCCTTACATTGAATGAAGTTTAGGAAGAGGCACGAAACTTTTCAAATCAAAAAAATCTGATATTAATCGATAATCTGTAATGAGATTATGAGTGATTTTAAAAAAACAAAACTGTCAATTTCAACGATAAATTCGTCAATATTTCTCATTCACCCTATTATGGTGAAGAATATAATTCGAAATTTAGAATACGATTGATCGTACGATACTCTTATAATACAGTCTGAAAAAAAAATTATAAATTTCGAGTAAAAACTATTTGATAGAGCTTATCGAGAACTTTTAAATAAAGCATGAAACCTAAATTCGTACACCTTGTAATTTCGGAATGACAAACATACTCTGTAGTTGAAAATACTCAAAGAAAAATGGTGATATTTATGTCTGACATTGTTATAATTGTTTCGTCAAAATTATACTAAACAGCATGTTATTAAGCAATATCCGAGTTATACCTTATTAAACATGGACACATGTATAATTCTTTGCTTTCTTAATTTAATATAATTCGTGGATTTTAAAAGGCAAACATGTTAAAATTGTTGCCTTACGTCTCTTCTAATCAAAAATGTGATTTAGAAATGAATAAGTTAAATTATGGGCACTATTAATTTTCAATTTCAAACCCTCTCAACTTTAAATCTCTTTTAAATAATTAAAATTTCAGTATTATTACAATAAATTAATAGGCAACGATGTAGATTATAATGTAGGTGAAAAAAAGTTAATAAATATTTGTAACTTTTTATAAATAACCTGTTCAAACACTCCAATTAAATAAGTTAATATTCGGAAGCTTCACACAGAAACAAAATTTAATAACTATAAGATTTTCTAACAAGCTACTTGCTTTGATTGTTATCGAAAAAAAAAATTCTGGTAGCATAAAAATTCTTAGTAATTAAATTTGAATGAACGACAAAAAAAAAATTTTTATAACTATACAGTTATCTTTCTAAATTTTATGAAATCTAAATTAAAAAAAAAAAAACATTAAAAAATTTTAGCTCATCTTTTCGTAGGTATTCAAAAACAATCGCATATTTATCGATTAGTTACGAAAAAACAATTTTTTTTTTTGTCTTACACAAGAGCCGCAAATCACTTATGCCATACCCTATATAAAAACATACGACACACAAAATACAAAATTTATAAGCAATTCTACCGACTTTGTACACTATGAATTGGAAGTAACAATGAAAAGAATACATTAAGGCGAAGGGTAACTAAATTGCGTATATTGTGATTACTTAATTAAAAATTCTGATGTTGTAAGCACACAATCGACAGCAATGTGTATTGCTTCTACCAAAAACTCGACATCCGAAATTTTGATGTCATCACATATCCTCCTTTATTGTATGCAATACGGTCAATTAATATTTTCTTATTCATTTCAATTCGATGTTAACAAATTGCAAATCATGCATTCGAATCGTAGACTATTGGTTTAATTGGATAATTTTGAATAAAAGATAACAATAGTGGTAAGTTGTAATTTATATTAAAAATACCATGATTCTCTCAATGTCGTTTGTCTCTACGTTTTTCACGAAAGCTTTTTCGTGCATTGGTTATAAGTACGATCGGGCCGATCATATTCACGCTATAATTTTAATAAAAATCAATATAGGGTGTTCAAAAATTTAAATTGACTTCCCATTTATTTTAATTTTCAAATGCAATTTGTATTGAAATAAATTGATATTATTTACCGGGGATATTATTCAAGATCAACTTAGTTAAAATTTGTAACAAATATTTTTAATTGAATAAATAATATTACCTAGATGTCGCTGTCCGAAATAAAATTTGAATGTCAAAATCTCTCACGTTATTACAGCGATTTAAGCTTTTATGCACACAACAATTTCTTAAATTGTAATCAAAATATTATCAACAGTTTAGTTTTCGATAATTTTCAGAAACGATCAGTGATTTTCATTAACCATTAAATCCTACGCTTTTCTTTTACAATAACATTTGCCCGGAATTTCATTACAAAATTTTATTTTCTAAATTATCCAAAAAAAAAGTGCTTATAGTTTTTACTTTATATTGTAACTAATTTAATATTGAAACAAAAAAAAATATGATTTTTATTTCTCTCGAAAAATATGGAAGCTCATCAAAGTCACATTAAGATTATGAAAGAATTTTTTTTTTATTTTCAATTAAAAGGCAAAAAATTAAAAAAAAAACTTTACAATTTTCGACATTTTCCAACCCCCCTTCCCCCCATCCTTTCCAAAATTTTCTAATTACAAAATATCTATACGTGTGTACGCACATATGTGGCAAAGGCACATGGGCTTAGCACCCAAAAAAAAAAAATTTTTTTTTTTTTCATTTCCAATCAAATGAAGTGGAGGAAGTCACTAATTTTTTTTTTTTCTTTTCACTTTGAAGTTTCTTCAGTGATTGATGATCTGAATTGATCAATGAAAAAGATAAAACAAAAAAAAAATATTAAAGAAAAGAGAAAGAATGAAAAATTATGAAAATATGTGAATTTCTTCATTATTTCTTAAAATTATTAACAAAAACAAAAAATATAAAGTAAAACGACCAAATTATAAAAAAAAAAACGCATTAACATTAAGACTACAAATTACTAACGAAAAAAAAAATAAAAAAAAAAAGTTCATTTTTTCCCTTAATTAATTATAAAAGGTTATAAAACAAAAGAATGCCGTTGATTTTTTTATTTTTTGTTTTTGTAATTTCAATTAAAAGGGATTGATTTACGATTAAAAGCGATAACACATATAATATTGATGTCCTTGTAATATATTCATAATATATATAGGTATAAGTACTAAAAGGGTGTCGAAACATTAGAATTTTAATTGAAAAAAATAAAAAATCATCTTTTAAATGGAAATTTAAAATTTTAAAGAAAAAACGCACTAATCAAAAATTTTTTAAGTCTATATTTTTAGACTGACATTTGAATTTTTCATTTTTTTCATAATTTTTAAGAGAATAAAATTAAAATCATTGAATGAAACAAAAATATTAAACAATGAGTGAAATTAAGAGTTTCTTATGTCAGAGATATTTCAGTAAGGTGGATATACGATGCTAGATCGTTATGTTATATTCTTTTAACGTGGCTATCATGAGGAACCCATGAGCTATTGAGATCGATTGTGATGATACCGTCGGACCCACATATTATGAAGTTGAAATTAAATACTAAAAGAGTTCTATGTTTCAAACAATTTATATTGATTATTTTTAGGTATTGCTAAAAATTCAAATAAAAAAAGCAATTATGATATGTTTTATAATTAAAATGACTTAAACTAAACTTATATACTAGAATAAAAAGATCTCATAACTAACTTATTGTACAGTATCCAAAAGTAATTTTTTCTTATAATTTACGAGTTTATTTAAATTTAGAATGTATTTTTCGTAAAATGAATGTTTTTTTTTTTGTATAAATATAAAGTAATTTTTTTATTAGACGCATTTCTGATAAAGTGATAAATTAATGGGACGTAATTAGAATTTTCTATATAATTATTATCATCTAGATCTTTAAAGAGCTTTTTATCTCTGGTGGAATTAAATCTGAATTCTATAATATGTTTTTTATGTATTTATATCATTCGGAAACGAAACATGGCTAATTAATGAATTATTTGTGATACTAGAGCATCTTAGAATATGATTACGCGAATTGAGCAAATAATATATGATTATCTATTCTAAAAATTATTAAACTCGTAAATTTTCCTATTAAAATAATATTTAATATAATGAGATTCAGGTGTTCTGTTTAAATTCGTGCATGTCCTTA